TCCTACCATTTAATTTCTTACATAAATTGCAGGAAAGTTAAATTCGGTTCCAAACATCTTGTATTTTAAGCATGTAGCTGAATGTCTCCTCTTTCGAATGGATACCGAAAGAGAAGCTTTCAAATTGGTAAAATTAGTATTAATTCAATATTTTTACATTTAGAAGAAGATGGAGTGCTCTTATTTATGAAATAGCTGCACTTCGGAAGTTTTTGAATTTCTTCATTGATACTAATTGATCAAATTCAATTAATATCACAGATGATAGACTTCTAGCATGTATCTATGGATATGACATTAGATCGAGAATGAAACTTTCTTTAGTAGAAGAAATCTTTGTTGTTTGCAAAATTTGATGGGGGGAGGAGGGATGTTATAATTTTGGTGTGCTCTGTATGTACTAGTATTTTTATTTAGAGAACAAGTTTAGAATTTTGACAGTAATTTCAAAATTTCTTTTAGGTCCAATAATATGAGACTCAAACATACCCACAAAAGGAAGAGCAGGGTGAAGATTATTATATTGTACAACGAATGGACTGGCAAGGAGACGTTTAAGGCGTAGCGAATTCTGCCGCTGCAATGTTCGATTAGTATTTGAAGAAGCTGTAGATGATAAAATGGAACTGATTGATGCACGAAGTGCTCGACTATACCGATTGTTGGCTGTTGCAATGGCTGCACGAATAGGTCGTAATACAAAAGCGTTTTGAGTAAATGGGCTTCGTCCTTCGTCATAAGTAACAAGTACAGGAAGTGTATTAACAAATGGATAAGTCACCAATGTTGTAGAATTGATCAGAGCAGATAAAGACTTATTAATAGTTGATGTGATATTTGGTCGAAGTACTACAATAGCCCACACTTGTCCATCATCGACAGCTTGTTGAGTGTTATCTACACTATTGCCATAGTCATTCGGATCCTTGTATTGCCAGTGAAGAGTCAAATTTCCAGGTGGTGTAGTTCGAAAAGCATCGAGAAAGAAGCTACCTGCTTGTCCACCATCGAAATCGACTATAGCAACTTTTAAGTTGCCCGTGTATTGACTCGGATTACGCCCAGAACCTAGATAGAACGTGCACATTATAAAGATGAATATCCAAAGTGGAACACATCCGATAATCCAGTGGTATACATATTGGATACGCAGATTAGCAATGTCTTTTCGTGATGACCACACATAAACAAAGTCGGTAGTTGCCGTCGGATCTAACGCCGAGGTGTGAGCACTACTACGAGTCAGTTGTTGATGTTTTACCATGAATAGAAAATAACAATAATAATAGTAATAATAAGATTCATGCGTACACAAATATACGTTGATAAACAAAATAACAATGCGATATACTTCAGTGCACTCGCATCACATGTCCATACAGAAAAAAAAACCACTACGGATTTGAGTGTTAATCATTGATGACAAGGACGATTGATGCATTTTCATTTATTATTATCATTTTCTATAGAAAAAAAGTACCCATAATGCCCTTTACTATTCAAAATCGATCATCTCCACCACACTTATGGTCCAGGAATGCCGATATGGCCAAGATACGTCGAACACTTCTTTTTCATACGATTCGTGTCTGTATCATTGTCTGGATCGTTATCTTTCTCATTGCACTAATTTATCTTGGTAGCGGTAGAGTACGTTTATCTGTTCAATTTTAATATTTGTCTCAAATTGTTTCATTAGATAACGATTTGTTTGTTTTATTTAAATTATATATTACAAATTAAATATGTTAGAATTCTGTTATGCTTCCCATGTCAGCGCGAACACTGTCGATATGTGAACGGTACGCTTGGTACGTGTACGAAAGTCACGGCATGTGCGCGTACCGAGTGTATCGGACAGGTATATCTAACGCGTACAAGAAAGTGTATTAATGCACTTTAGTAATTTTCTCATTGGTTCATTTCGAAACTCGATTAATGATGACTAATCCTTTTGTTTTTAATTTTATTTAAATAAAATTCCACGCTAAACTTTACAAAAAAATACAGATAAATAAAGGCTTCAGTAACAATTGAAAATCAAAAAATTGAGACGAAAAAACTATACAAAAAAAAATTAAATATACCAAAAAAACCTTCTGCTGCTATATTATTTATGATTTGTTATTTTATTACTTTTTTTATTTTTCATTATTTTATAACTTTTATTTTGTTTCGATTTGTTTTCAATTTAAACCGGCTAGTAAAATATATAAATCAACATTTACAGATGATGACTCGTATATCTTTCGACCGTCAATAAATTGAAAAAAGTAATAAAATAATAAGCAATAAATATAATAAGAGTACTAAAAGAACAAATCATAAGAAATATAGCAGCCCAAAAAAATCTTTAAAAAATATCACGAAAAAAAGGAAAAAATATGTATAAAACAATAGAAATAAGAGGTAAAAAATTTTTTTAAATAGAAAAATATATATAAAATAAAAGGTACATATGAAAATAAGTAAAAAAATATAAAAATATAAAAACAAACAATTATAAATTTAAAAAAATTTTAATATTTGCATTTATTTTCTTTTATATTAAGATACAAAAATTTTTAAAAAATTACATACAAATATTTTAAAAACTAAATACTAATTTATCAAGATTGTAAAAATTGAATATAAATTCTAGAAAAATATTGAAAGAGAAAGAATTATATTTTTTTAGAATTTATATTCAATTTTTACGATCTTGATAAATTAATATTTAGTTTTTAAAATATTTTCAATGTTAAAAATTATTGATCATTTTTTTGAAATTTGTGTGTAATGTAATCCGTACAATGTTTGAGAAGACAATTCTGAAAAAATTTAATAAAAAAAATAATTTTATTTATATAAAAATTACATAAAACATAGATTATATACGAAAAAGGGCTAAGTAATATTCAAACAATAGCTTTTGTCTATTCAACCATTGTTGAATTACTAACCTCTTCAAAGAGAAGTTGTTAGACGAACGCATGCCGTACATATGAACACGAATTGTACACGCACGCACATGTTGAGACACGTGTACAAGATGTGACATGCGCATACCAATAGCGTTCAGATTGACATGAGTAGATAATTGATGAATGCAAAAAATGTTTTTAAAGAGATAAAAAAACGTTTTTACAGATAAACATTTTTCAATTCTTGTCTACATGATGAATTGCATTGAGCTGTAGCAATCGAACATGATTATCATACCATGTCTGATTTTTCATTAGACAACTGCTCATTGTTTTAGAGAATTTCGAGTCTTACTATTCGAATATTTATTTTTTCGTAATAAAAAATTCTAATGATAGATTAATGTGAAGACAATGTTTTCATATAAAACGTGTGATTTTCGACTACATCATTGAGTAGCTGTTATGATATCCTAAACCAATAGTTTTAACAGGAAAAAAAACCGATTGATCAAATATCAACTTTTTTTCTTTTGATTTCTATCTTTTCATTGCTCTTTGTTTTCATTTTGAACGCAGGATCCTTATCAGCGCACGGGCTCACTCGATGTGTATGTAGCCGATTTGGATAAAGGCACTGCAGGTAGTTACTTTCTCAATGCCTTTCATAACACGCCACCTGGTAACTTAACGCTTAACTGGATTTTCATACAATCCGTCGATTCTCCATCAGCTCTTGTCGACGCGATTGAAAACGGAAAAGCTTGGGCCGCTGTTTATATGAATTCAGGTATTACTGCTAGTATTAATCAGATCATCCAATCAATTTTGGATGGGTCTACAACTGGCTCGACTTCTTACATGCCTTCGTCGGCAGTAAACATTGTTTATGACGAAGGTCGTAATGCAAACAGCATCAATGGATTCGTTTTACCTCCTATTCAAGCAGCTATTGCTGTTGCTAGCGCTAACTATTCTTCTTACATACAGTCTCGTATTGACTCTTACTCAAATGCGACATTAGACAGCGTCATAACAGCTGTTTTAATATCTCCAATTATCTGGTCGCCTATCGGCTTCACTTATGTGAATCTTCATCCTGCCTATCCCTACGCTAGATTGCTCACCACTACTCTTGGTTATCTCTTTCTCTGGCTTACCATGAACGCACTTGTTTCAGTAAACATACGCATTACAGCACCACTCATTACTAAAGTCAAAATCATCGATATGGCAATAATACGTCTTACAAATACCTTTCTTAATAGTTTCATAATATCATTCATTTACAGTTTATGCGTTCTTTGGTTCGGTAATTTCACTGGCAGTGCTCCGTTTATGAGATTTTGGCTTTTCAACTGGCTTGTTACCCTCACATTCGCGTCTATAATAGCTCTTTTCACTCTCAATTTGGGAGTAATGGCTAATATTGCACTTATACTCTTTATTATCCTCAATCTCTCGGCATCAGGAGCGAGTTTGACACTTGAGCTTCAAAATAGATTTTATTATATTGGCTACGGCTTACCTCTCTATCATTGTTTGAGTGGCGGTCGACATTTGCTGTTCGGCTCGTACTCTAAAATGGGTGTTAATGTGGGTGTCTTGATCGCATACTACATTGTGTGTATTGTATTGACAATCATCACTGCTGTGATTCGAATACGTAAACAACAACAAATGGCCGCTGATTATAAGCGCAAGGAGTTATTGAAGAAAGGCAAGACAATTTCAACGACAGTGAAGTCTATCAACAAAAAATAAATATGTTAATGTTGATAGTTGACATTTCTATTGAATTCATATAGACAAATTTTCAAGTATTTTTTTTTTGCTTTTTCAGAATATTTATTTTATCTTCAATATTATATTCGACATTCATCAATAAAATAGAATATGATTTAAAGATATCTATTTGCTTGTTTGCAATGAAAAGAATATAGCAATTTTTCGAGAAAAAGGCAATATTATTAAAACAATATTAACAAACTGACTTTTCTCAAATCATCTAAGGAAGATTGAACTTGTTCTGATTTTATGAAAAACCTTATCGAAGGTTTCATTCTGAGAGTGTGTAGAATATTTTTCAATCGAACCGAATCGATCAGTTAAACTACATAATTCAAACTGTAAAAAAGAAGTAACAGTTCATTTAATATATATTAACTAAATGCATAGTTCTGTCGAGAAAAATTTTATTACTACAGCTCCTTAATCACATACAATATGCTGCTCATATTGGAAAATCTTTATTTCAGACATAGTTTAATTTCTGATGACATGATTACAGAATTGAAGTAATTATGTTAGAATTCAATAATGTTCATGTAGTATGTTTTGTTTAGAAACAAGATACAATTGTGTAAGCTTTCTTTAAAGTACAATTCTAGGACTAGAAGAGATAATTTTAATGATGATTATGTTAAGATAGTACAAAAGAAAACATTTTATGATCAATTTTTATTTTATTGCTGTGATTCAGTATTGTACGAAAAAGATATTCTTTTCTTCAATAAGATAAATATGTTCAAACTATAAAAACATTTCATCAGAAGTGAAAAAAATCATTATTATCTCTGAGTTCTTTTTTGGCTTTTTTTAAATAGATGACAGCCAAGGAACTATTTTGCTGATTAAGAAATAATTTTATTGAATAGAATCTTCTTTGTAATTATCTTCTATGATTAATAATAACGTAGATAACATTTTGAATGTTGCTTAATTATACTTACTAAATAGATTTAAATAATTCTCAAGAAGAAGGTTTTTTATGAAAATTTGTGATTAACGAGAAAAATTTTTTTTTTTGAATTCATTCTTCTAAAAAGTATATTTCTGCTTATATTTATTTCAATGGAATCAATTGAAATTCACAAATAGAAAGTAATGAAATATTTGCCAGAAAGTAAGCAATACAATATACATTTAATAATCTTAATTTCTAATACTAATTTTTTCTGATGAAAATTAAAACTGTGAATTTCGTTCTTTTTCTTAGATATTTTTACGGTTTAGAGTAATTTAACTGTAAAAAATATTTTCGTGAATTCACTTTCAAAGAAAAATATACGTATGTATTTCTTCTAAGAAAAAGTGTTTAAAACTATGCAAAAACGAGTGCCTTCATATAATTAATGTATCCAGTGAAATTGCCCTTTATTGAACAGATCTTATATATTAGAAG